AGCCAGCACAGCCATTAGGGGCCCACATGGGTTTGACCTGGGCTATCTAACTGGGACCCAGCCAGTTTTGTCCACGGTTTCCATGTAAGCCCCACATGGGTTTGCCCAGATGAAATGAACACTGTTTAGTGTGCACACTACAGGCTGTTAAATGTAACACATATCAGTTGGAGTTAATGAGATAATTAATTGATATAATGATTGAGCATTATTGTTAACAAGCAGAATCATTGAAGGAAAGAGAAACACAAGAACTACTTCCAGCCACAGCCTTAGATGAAATCAACTGAAGATAAAATACACGAAATCTCTCAAGATCTGATTAAACAACTCCACAAACAGCATTACCAGCTTCACTTAACCAGGTTGACTTTATTTCTGGTAGACGTCTAGGCCTACAGAATTTCTTATTGAGAATTAACAGAGTTTAAGATGTTGATGATTTAATGAAAATAATAGTTTGGTTTGATGTCACCATTATGGTGACCAGCGTTTGCTTTAGTCGGGGCTCTTGACTTTTTAAAATTAGTTTTTCTCTGGCAGCTGTATCTGATTGTTATGTTGAGCATCTGAACATATGTTGTTATGTTAACAGCAAGAGAAATTGCAATCAGATGTTATAAGCTGATTGATGATAATAATCTAATCATCATGTAGTGGCTTAACTCACTAATATTGTGTGTGAGTTTTATACGGGTGATATGTTATTCATTTTATTTTATTATTGTGATTCTACAGCAAGAGATCCAACACATTTTTATCAGAACATCAAATGATTTTTAAAACATCATTTTCACATTTTGGAATTTTGCAATTTTTACTCACACACAGACATGAAGAATCAGCATATGAATCGCTATAATGGTGACATGCTTCATGGTGCAATGCATTCTGGGAGCCATGGATAAGTTTTGTATGATGCACCCAGAATGCATTGCACCATGAAGCATGTCACCATTGTTGAGATTCATATGCTGATTCTTGATTTCTGTCTGTAGAATCACAACAATAAAACAAAATGAATAACATATCACCCATATAAAACTCAGACACAATATTAGTGAGTTAAGCCACTACATAATGATTATATTCTAATCATCAATCAGCTTATAGCATTTGATTGCATTTTCTCTTGCTGTTCTCAACATAACAATCAGATACAACTGAACAGAGAAAAGCTAAAGTTAAAAAGTCAAGAGCCCAACTAAAGCAAACACTTATCACCATAATGGTGACATCAAACCAAACTATTATTTTCAATAAATCACCAACATCTTAACCTCTGTTAATTCTCAATAAGACATTCTGTAGACGTCTACCAGAAATAAAGTCAACCTGGTTAGTAATAATAAGTGAAGCTGGTAATGCTGTTTGTGGAGTTGTTTAATCAGATCTTGAGAGATTTCGTGTATTTTATCTTCAGTTGATTTCATCTAAGGCTGTGGCTGGAAGTAGTTCTTGTGTTTCTCTTTCCTTCAATGATTCTGCTTGTTAACAATAATGCTCAATCATTATTTAATCAATTAATTATCTCATTAACTCCAACACTGATCAGTGTTACATTTAACAGCCTGTAGTGTGCACACTGAGCAGTGTTCATTTCATCTGGGCAAACCCATGTGGGGCCTACATGGAAACCGTGGACAAAACTGGCTGGGTCCCAGTTAGATAGCCCAGGTCAAACCCATGTGGGCCCCACATGGCTGTGCTGGCTGGGTAAAACCCAAGCATCGATGTTTTACCACAGGTTTACAATAAAAAAGTGATACATTGATCATAATGAATAAATTTATGTCAAAATTGCACATTAGTCACACAGAAATAAATTACCGTTAGGTCTATTTCACAAAAGAAAGAGGACACTTACATTATTCAGTCGAGGCTGTTTCTGTTTATTTGGTAGTTAGGCTACAGGACATTTATCACATTTAGAAAGAATGATAATTTCTACAAATAACGTTATATGCTACCAAAAATACGACCTGAAGAGCGTTAGCACAGTCTCGACTCCCAGTAGGCTACAGATATATTTTCAGTCAGAGAAAAACAGGAAGCTCCCGAAAAAAAGTAGCTTTTTTAGGATAGTCCGGTATAAAGAGACGAGACGTAGCCTACTGACAGATAAAATAAAAACATGATTGTGATAGCCTTTATGATTGGTCTGACTTATTCAAGCGTTCACCATGTTTTTTTTACTATGCGTATCTTCAAGCGTTTACGTTTACTATGGTAATGGTTAGCGCGCATAGTCTTTTGCATCGCGTATAAATATAAATCCACATCGGATCACAAACAGAAGGCATTAAAACATGAAAGTGAGTTAAATAATTTTAAAAGTCTTTAATGCTGACAGAATTATTCGGCGCTCTCGACTCAGGTAAACTCCGCCTCTGTTCGTAACCACTCCTCTAGCCCGAGCTGGCCCGCTTTGGCCCAAGGTATTCAACGGGCCAGAAATCCTGGCCGTTGGCCCCGAGTAAGCCCCGATCAAGCCCCGGAAGTGACAGTGGAAACGCGACTGGCCCTGGCACGCACTAGCACGGCCCGGCCCTGGCCCGGCAGTGGAAACGCGGCTAGTGTAAATTGGTCTTTGAAACATTTAAATATCTTATGTAAATTCTGAGGGGCAGTACCCAGCCAGCACAGCCATGTGGGGCCCACATGGGTTTGACCTGGGCTATCTAACTGGGACCCAGCCAGTTTTGTCCACGGTTTCCATGTAGGCCCCACATGGGTTTGCCCAGATGAAATGAACACTGCTCAGTGTGCACACTACAGGCTGTTAAATGTAACACTGATCAGTGTTGGAGTTAATGAGATAATTAATTGATTAAATAATGATTGAGCATTATTGTTAACAAGCAGAATCATTGAAGGAAAGAGAAACACAAGAACTACTTCCAGCCACAGCCTTAGATGAAATCAACTGAAGATAAAATACACGAAATCTCTCAAGATCTGATTAAACAACTCCACAAACAGCATTACCAGCTTCACTTATTATTACTAACCAGGTTGACTTTATTTCTGGTAGACGTCTACAGAATGTCTTATTGAGAATTAACAGAGGTTAAGATGTTGGTGATTTATTGAAAATAATAGTTTGGTTTGATGTCACCATTATGGTGATAAGTGTTTGCTTTAGTTGGGCTCTTGACTTTTTAACTTTAGCTTTTCTCTGTTCAGTTGTATCTGATTGTTATGTTGAGAACAGCAAGAGAAAATGCAATCAAATGCTATAAGCTGATTGATGATTAGAATATAATCATTATGTAGTGGCTTAACTCACTAATATTGTGTCTGAGTTTTATATGGGTGATATGTTATTCATTTTGTTTTATTGTTGTGATTCTACAGACAGAAATCAAGAATCAGCATATGAATCTCAACAATGGTGACATGCTTCATGGTGCAATGCATTCTGGGTGCATCATACAAAACTTATCCATGGCTCCCAGAATGCATTGCACCATGAAGCATGTCACCATTATAGCGATTCATATGCTGATTCTTCATGTCTGTGTGTGAGTAAAAATTGCAAAATTCCAAAATGTGAAAATGATGTTTTAAAAATCATTTGATGTTCTGATAAAAATGTGTTGGATCTCTTGCTGTAGAATCACAATAATAAAATAAAATGAATAACATATCACCCGTATAAAACTCACACACAATATTAGTGAGTTAAGCCACTACATGATGATAAGATTATTATCATCAATCAGCTTATAACATCTGATTGCAATTTCTCTTGCTGTTAACATAACAACATATGTTCAGATGCTCAACATAACAATCAGATACAGCTGCCAGAGAAAAACTAATTTTAAAAAGTCAAGAGCCCCGACTAAAGCAAACGCTGGTCACCATAATGGTGACATCAAACCAAACTATTATTTTCATTAAATCATCAACATCTTAAACTCTGTTAATTCTCAATAAGAAATTCTGTAGGCCTAGACGTCTACCAGAAATAAAGTCAACCTGGTTAAGTGAAGCTGGTAATGCTGTTTGTGGAGTTGTTTAATCAGATCTTGAGAGATTTCGTGTATTTTATCTTCAGTTGATTTCATCTAAGGCTGTGGCTGGAAGTAGTTCTTGTGTTTCTCTTTCCTTCAATGATTCTGCTTGTTAACAATAATGCTCAATCATTATATCAATTAATTATCTCATTAACTCCAACTGATATGTGTTACATTTAACAGCCTGTAGTGTGCACACTAAACAGTGTTCATTTCATCTGGGCAAACCCATGTGGGGCTTACATGGAAACCGTGGACAAAACTGGCTGGGTCCCAGTTAGATAGCCCAGGTCAAACCCATGTGGGCCCCACATGGCTGTGCTGGCTGGGTACTTGAAAGAGATTTCAATTTCACTGTCAAAGGGTTCAAAGATGCCAATAAACCAGAAAAAAATACTGAAGAAATGCCGGCAGTTTAACTGAACAACTATTACACAACACAAAACCAGTCGTTGATCATCTAAAATCTTTGTGTTTTTTTTTACGTTGTCAGGAACAACAAAATTAAGGAGGAAAAACTGCAAAAGATAAACGTGTAAAATACAGCAGAAACTAATGGAAACGAGGAGATGCACTGAGGCACTCCAACAAATAAATGAATTAACCGCTAAATAAACCCTAGAAGAAAAAGAAGAAAATAAGTCGTTGCAGTTCCTCTTCCGGCCTGCAGGGGGCGGCGGTGCGTCACTCACACGAACGAACACTGACTGCAGATGAAATGCATCATGGCGGAGCGACTCTGAAATAAAACAAAACTGTGCGGAAAAACATCGGGATTAAACCCCGAAATCCTGCCGTTTCATCCCACATCCGCCAGATCTGCGATTATAATCACATACGGACTCGCGGCTCGACAAATCGCGCTTTTTGCGTTTGCCGTTAAAGGTGTTATTGCTTATCGGGAGACGCCGCGATACTTTATGATCACAATATAAGACAAACACGCTTATTATTATTATTTAACTTTCGTCTTTATTGCGTTTGCTACGTTTAAATTACGATTCATTCTTTATTAAGCGACAGTGTTCGTCTTCACTTGAGTGCAGACATCAAAACAGCCCTGTAAAACCACAGGCGTGAATGTAAAAGGTTTATTATTTTATTAAACATAAAAACGATGGAGAAAAAGCAGCATAAATCAGACAAACATCATCGCCGACATCTTCATCACCACCACCATCACCATCAGTCCTCCAGCAGCAGCAGCGGGGAGTCCGGCGGCAGCAGCCCGGCCCACGGGGCGCCCAAAGCGGCCAACGCCTTCGCCAACGACGGCAGCTTCATGGAGATGTTCAAGAAGAAGATGGAGGAGGAGGAGAAGAGGAAGAGAGAGACTGAGGAGGAGGAGAAGACGAAGAGTCCTGCTCCGGCAGGGCAAGCGGCTCAGGACAAGAAGCCTTGTAGCGTGAGCAGCATTGTAAGAGAGGCAGTGGAAGCGCTTTACTTTAGTGTCACACACACACACACACACACACACACACACACACACACACACACACACACACACACACACACACACACACACACACACACACACACACACACACACACACACACACACATACATTCACACACTCATACAGCAGTAGATTATGGCTCTGTTCGGGTCCTGGTCGCTTCCTAAAGCCCGTGTAACGCTCTGAGTCTGTTCCCTTATTAACTCAGGTGGGCAAGCGGAGGGGAGGCGCGCGTTTGGCCCTCAAGACAGGGATGGTGGCCAAGAAACAGAAACTGGACTCCGAGGTGAGAAGAGACTATATCCTATAAAATCATTGTTTTTTTTTTGTACAAACCTTTTCGTTATGAAGCTATTTAAGAGGTTGATTCAGTATCTATCATAAGGTGCGTACACGCAATGTCATAATTACTAGATTACAACTCGTAAATTCCCAATAGAGCTCGGGATCGTTTCGTCACGTCGCAATGCATTGTGGGAATCACGGTACGGAAGTAGATGTACTGTATAGCAGGCAGTAGGTAATTCAAATTCTTACGTTGGTCATTTAGGTTTAATTTAGGTTATTTTAAGGAAAATGGTTCAGTATTGCTGTGATGCAAACTGCTGTAATCGGTCTCACGATCGACAGGGCAAACAACTCATAAATCATGTTAGTTTTCACCAGTTTCGCGTCTTGTTTTGGTGAACGGTGGGTTGTGTCAAGTGAATGTTCGCCTATATTATACCGGATTACAGAACTACCGGACGAAAATAGTGGATTATTGTACCTATGATAGTTGTGTAATTACTCCTGAGATGTAACAACCCTGCATAGACAAGCTTTATAGCTCACAGAATCTGACAAGTATGTGTGTGTGTGTGTGTGTGTGTCACCAGTTGATGATGCTGACTCGCGATCTTCATAGTGAACGCGCCGGAGAGATACACATTTCATACGGATTACATCGTTTTCTTTCGTTTTGAATTGTTATGTTTAAAAGTAGAAATCGCAGGTCTGTGAGGCAAGAAGGCTATGCTGAGTTTTGCTTCATGTATGAGACGAGCTGCAGTTCAGGCGGGCGCCTCCGTCATCGTGATTGTCTAGCTACTATGTTTCAGGGACGTGCACAGGAATTTTGTGGGGCAGTTGCTCTGACCTGAAAAAAGGGCACTACCCCCAAAACTCACGGGCTATATGAAGGAATATATTCAGTTGAATTTTGCCCATACAAATTGCCTTATCTGATCGTGTTTATGTCCAAACGCAATGCCTCATATTATGGTCTTATTATTATTTATAAAGATTGCAAACGTCAAAGATGACAGGTTTATGATATACAACTTTGTAAACAGTATACAAAATGTATTAACAATATGTTAAATGTCACCAAAATACACATGAGTAGTATTAACATAAACCATGTGTCAAAAAAGGTGTTTTATGACTTGATTTATGGCCCTGTGTTGGTACAGAGTTGTGTGCCTGTCACTCATGACTGTTGTAGTGTTCTTGTATCAAGAAAACAGTGTTTCTGATTTACGGTGGTAGCTGACAGGCTCCTGTATGTCTAGGAAGTTTGGAGCTGTGTGACATCCTCCTTTGGTGAGATCCGGGAAACTTTTAAAAGACAAAAAAAAACCTTTTGTTTGATTTTATGACCATCTTTTGGTAGATTTAGGCACCCCTTGTCACTCATGATTGACAGAGACTCCATGTGTCAACAAAAATCTGGGGTCCTTCCAGTCAACTGGGGGGAAACTGAGCTATACATTGATTCAATTCATCAACTTTAATAGTGGTAAATATAATGTTCCACACTCTGGCAAAATGAAAAGAAATAATGAAGTGTGCATAAATCACCATGTAAATTCAAGACCCCAAATCACTAAGAAAATAAATTACGCCATACAGACATTGTTTATGATGCATACATAGAAAACTCAAATGTTGAGCAATTTGTACTTTTGTTTCATGTTTTGTAAATATGGTTTTGCAAGGGCTTTTTATCGCACCACTAGACATAGTCATCTTGTTGAGATGACACTGTTCACATTTCTTTCTTTTTTGTTTTTGTTTTAGGTGAAGACAGAAACGATGTAAGTTTATGCTATTCCGCACATGGGAAAACGTGTGATGAACGCATGGCTTACATTTAAGAGGCTTTTTTATTTATTTTTTATAAATGACTGAACTTTCTCCTTTTGACAAAACCAGTATTTCATATTATATTATACTTAATATTATATTAAGGTGCTCAACGTCCCGCTTAGCATTAAAGATTAGTTTGTTTTTAATTGGTATCATCATCTTCTTTGACTCAAATAAAGTTACTATATGTGCTATAAATCTTCGTAATTTTTTTTTTTTCCTCTTCTGACAGATTTGTTAGAGGAACTATATGCCACAGTATTGTAATGCAAACACATTAAGAACAATAAAGTTACAGGTCCTTGTAAAGACTATGAGTAAAATTCAAACAATCGTTATACAGGATTTATGTTTGCACAAAAGGAAATACAAGAGGTAAATTTACTTCAACCGTGTGTACGGGGTATAAGAGGGTTGAAAAGCTGTTTATAATAAACACACATAAGTGTGCAAATGACGGTTCTATTACGCCGATAGATTTAGTCATCTTGTTCAGACAGCAGATGATACTGTTTCACAGTATGTATGTAGGACTGTATGTTTTTAGGTGACGACTTTTCTTAAAGAGCTGTCAACATTCTGCGTTTTATAGGAATAAATGACAATTCATTTAAGTAATAGTCTTTCTGTTTGAGAATATTTGACTAAGCTGATACTTTGTTTAGGTCAACTTCCCCCATCTATCTATGATGTGGTCTATATATGCTGTTTTACACTTAAAACCATACGGCAGAGTCACATTTGACTATTGCACTGAGAGATGCGTATTCATTAAAGCATGAGGTTGTTAAACAAAGTTCCACACTTTGGTAAATCCTGCAGATAAAATTGCACAAAAGCAAATTCTAGAGGTCAAATTGCTAAAAAAAAAAAAGTAAATACAACATGAGCCATCTAAAACAGATACAGAAACCCTCTCTTCCGATCTATTGCTAAAGTTTAAGAATAAAATGCTGTTTAAGAACAGCATAAGAAAATTACACACATTTAAACCGATATTATTTTAGGTCTGTCTACGAAGAGGTCACAAGACATATAATAGGACCAACATGAAAATTGAGACTTGATGTTTTTATGTTACATACATACAACTGTTACACTTAAAACAAAACCTATCGATTAGTTATATTATGAGTCAAGGTGTCACAGACACATAATTCGTCATGTTTGTCTTCACAATCGGGGATTCTTTAAGAAAAACAGTATGTGTCCATCATCAGTGTATACCAAATTTGTTTAACATATCTTCATTTTCCACAATTATAAATATTGATTAGCAACAGCTCAATGGTTACCAAATGCTAGTGAAGAGATTATCAACAGAATGTCACTGGCACATTAGTTAGCTATTAGTGATAGTGGCCCTGGTATCGTCACATCGTAGTGAGTACACATATAAACCACAAAGTTTTGACTATGAAGCCAGGCCAAAAACAGAAAACAGCAATTAGTTGTAGCAGTATGGAGATTGAGTTATGTTCTTTGATTTTGCAAAGAACATAACAGCAGCATTCTTATTGTAATGTCGGGTGTGATTGTAATGCTTGTGTGGTGTTTTCTTTACACTTTCCCCATGGGTGTCTGTTTCCCATGTCATGTTAGTGAACTCTAGGTCTTCTCGCCTTCTATTTGGTCATAAGTGACAGTATTCACATGAATTTGCATGATTTAAAAACTTCGAATGCTGGGTGTTATATCCATATCTGTGTTACACAACATATTTTCAACACAAGCTGTTTATGTTGAGCGTAAGCATCGGTAAGTGTCAACATGTATGGAAAAGACCATTGTGTTACAGCAAAACCACTATCGGTGGAATGATATTGTAATGTACAGAGTTTTTTTGCATTAATAAATTAACTTTTAATTAACATTACCTCATTGTTTCTTGACATATGTTTATAACCGTGATCCAATTTTCACATCTCAAAGAATCTTACAGACGGAAAATGTTTATCCAGAATTTAGACTACTGTTAAAAAAAAAGTCGACGTGTAGGGATATATACAATCGCTACATTGTATTTAATGTCACTATAGAGACAATTTAATGCACGCTTCAGGGGCTGAACTTTTAACATTTTAATCTTTGGTAAAAGTTAACTTAAAGGGATACTCCACTTTTTTTGGAAATAGGCTCATTTTACAACTCCCCCAGAGTTAAACTGTTGAGTTTTACTGTTTTTGAATCCATTCAGCCGATCTCCGGGTCTGACGGTACCACTTTTAGCATAGCTTAGCATACATCATTGAAGTGGACAAGACCATTAGCATCTCTCTCAAAAAAATGACCGAAGAGTTTCAATATTTTTCCTATTTAAAACTTGACTCTTCTGTAGTTACATCGTGCACTAAGACCGACGGAAAATGTAAAGTTGCGATTTTCTAGGCTGATATGGCTAGGAACTATTCTCTCATTCATGCGTAGTAATCAAGAAACTTTGCTGCCGTACCATGAGTGCAGCAGGCGCAATGATATTATGCAGCGCAAACACAAACTTATATGGTCACGCAGGAAGTAACCTAGCTGGGGGCTATTTTCAGGCGCTGCGTCGTATCATTACGCCTGCTGCACTCATGGTACGGCAGCAAAGTTTCTTGATTACTACGCAGGAATGAGAGTATAGTTCCTAGCCATATCAGCCTAGAAAATCGCAACTTTACATTTTCCGTCGGTCTTAGTGCACGATGTAACTACAGAAGAGTCAAGTTTTAAATAGGAAAAATATTGAAACTCTTTGGTCATTTTTTTGAGAGAGATGCTAATGGTCTTGTCCACTTCAATGATGTATGCTAAGCTATGCTAAAAGTGGTACCGTCAGACCCGGAGATCGGCTGAATGGATTCAATAACGGTAAAACTCAACAGTTTAACTCTGGGGGAGTTGTAAAATGAGCCTATTTCCAAAAAAAGTGGAGTATCCCTTTAAGTTAACTTTTACCAAAGATTAAAATGTTAAAAGTTCAGCCCCTGAAGCGTGCATTAAATTGTCTCTATAGTGACATTAAATACAATGTAGCGATTGTATATATCCCTACACGTCGACTTTTTTTTTAACAGTAGTCTAAATTCTGGATAAACATTTTCCGTCTGTAAGATTCTTTGAGATGTGAAAATTGGATCACGGTTATAAACATATGTCAAGAAACAATGAGGT